CCCCTACTCCCTCAGGAAGCTCAGTACAGCGAGGAACGTGCAAATGCAACTGAGTGAAACGTCTGCCCCGTAATTTCAGTGCAGATGAATGTGGGCTCTCACAAATCTTCTTCCAGAGCGTTACCGCAAAGCTGTGGGGTCCACCTCTTAGTGAGGTTGGGACTGGTCCTGACTGCTGGTCTGGACCGGTTTGTTTCAAGTGATGGGGTTTATATTAGACTTGGGAATGGCACACCACTTCCTTAGCGAGGTTGGGACTAGTCCATACTGCCGGTCTGGACTGGTTTGTTTTTAGTGATGGGGTTTACTCATCAGATTTGGGAATGGCTGAGGACTTCATTTGAGCGAATCTATCGGCCAGTTGGGTCAGGTACAGGCAAGAATGTTATTTCCTGTTGAAGTGAGGTCCACTTCATGGCACTCGCGAGGAACTTGTTTGTCCTTGTGTGCGATTGGTGTGTTCCGTGTTTTGTGTGCGATTGGTGTGTTCCGTGTTTTGGTGAGTGTTATGGCCATGTATGAGTTTGGGGAGTTCTTAGGCCCTCTCCACTTTGGTGAGAATTCACCAACAATTTTCCACTCTGGTGACCGATGCGGTGAGGCCTATATTCTCTCCCTGTGGTGCAGATCTTATCCCTTGTTGACTGGGCCCAACATGCTTTTGGTTTGGCTCTTCAGGTGTCAGTTCGACTATGCTGGATGACCCACACTTTTAGCCATTGGTCCCTCGGGTCTGGCGGTGGGAGGCCCAGGGGATGGTGCAAAGCTATGAAACGTTCTGAGGGGAGCCTGCCACAAAGATAGCACACAGCAATCCGTAGAGGAATTTTGCATTTGAGGGCAAAAGTGCCGCGAAATGCAAATCGTCCCTTTCCTTTCCCCATTTGACTTCTTTTTCGCCAGCCCTGTACAGACCCCCATGTTTTTTTCCTGAAAAAGGGAAACGTCAAGCGCTCAGAGTCTTGCCTCCAGTGTGGGTATTGACCACGCTTCCAACCTGGCACCGCTGTCACACCCATTGTGAACCCCTCTTTCTGCCTCTGAATCCCCTGTGTTCCACAAGGAAGGTTGTTGAGGTGCCAAAACTGGAAACAAGGCATTAAACCGCCAATACCTTTCCCACTAAAGTAAAAATAGTGTGCCGGTTAACACGGAGGCCCTACCCGGCTGGCGGCGGCAGCTAGATGCATCCGGGAAGCTTGGCGGGCAGGTCCTGTGGCCGATGTATGGCAAAAGTACTGGTGGCTTAAACTACCAGTACCTACCGCTTTCTCCAGCAGTTACAATGTGCCAGATAGCATGTGGATGAATCGGCCTGCGATACGGGTCTGCGTTCATTCGAAGCGGCAAAGAAAAAAGGAGTGGTGGAGAGTCTGGAGACCTCCAGGTACTGATGGTTTGAACCACAAATCTGGCACTCTTTTCTCCGGAAGTGGTGGTCGATGCTCCAAGAATGGAAATGAGGCAAACAACAATGAAAGTGCCTGTCCAACCATTGGTCCTTGACAATGTTATCAGGATTGGAAGTCCACTTCCTTAAACCGCCAGTACACGGCCCCGACCTTGCTGAGAAAGAAACTCGTCGCCTATGAAAATTGTGGAGGCTCGGCCTACCAGACCACGATGGCTGGTGGTGCCAGCCCGAAAAGAGAAGAAGTGCGCTGCTGGCGGTTTGGAAAAGCTTGGTGCGCAGTAAGGTGCCTGCAGGCCCTGGTGCACTGGTGGTTCAAACTACCAGTGCTTCTGTAGGTCGAGGCATGCATGCTCTGCCAGCCATTGATACAGTGCCGCAAAGTTTCCACTTGAATGAAGTTGTGCCAGCGCTCAAGGCCCGTTCATTCCAGCACGTCCAACACTTCTTCAGTTTCAATGAAGTTTTAAACCACGTATACCTTTCCCATCTATTTCGCGCTGAGGCGGCTGTTAATGCTTGTCCAGGAAAAAAGAAAAGGACGAATGCACCTGCGCCAATTTGTTTCTTCTGTTGGCTCGCAGCTGAAATCTGGATCTGGAAAAAGAGGCTCGGAGGTACTGATGTTTTTTCTATTGTCGTGTGTGATGGTCATACGGGTTGCTCTTGCAATTCAACTGCTTTTTCCACGACGTCGAGTACATGGCCCCAGGCAACTTGAGAGAAAATGAGAGAGCCCCTCCGAAAAGTCTGGAGGCTCGGGTCAATCAGACCCAAATGGATGGCTTTGCCAGGGCATACTCACACTCGGCCCTCAAAATCGCAAAATGGCAAAATGAGCGGTCAGATTTGAGTCCTTGTAAAAGAGGGACTCGATCTGGCCGCTCGTTTTGAGATGTTGTGATTTGGAGGGCCAAGCCTTACAGGAATGATGAAGAATTGCAATGGCAAAAGCTTTCTTTGTCCTATATTCCCCGTCATGTCTGTTTGATTAACTTTATTTCGTGGCGTGTTGGTCTTTCTGAACTTTTTCTCCCTTTCTCATCTCTCCCCACTCCTCCGCCCCCTCTGCCCTCGTCATTATTTATGTTGGAACAGGTCATCTGGACAAACATGTGGGGAGAATATGGAACAACACTGTGGCTGACATCACGCTTCTGGCATTCGGTACTTCGGCGCCACAGATATCACTGGCATTGATTGATGCAGTGCAAACACTAGGACAGCCTCCAGGAGGTGTGTACACTTTTCTAGCGGTTTCAAGAGACCTCCAACCCTTTGCTTTATTTGTATATCTCTGTTCTTAAAGTGGTAGATGCCACAAATAGATTGGACCAAAATTTTCCCAAAAGAAAAAAAGAAAAAGGAATTGTGGATTTCAGACCTTTAAACTTTAAACCGTTTGTTTATTTGCATACTAGGGAATGTCTGATTAGTAAAGAGGAGTGAAGTTAGTGAACAGAATTGGTCAGGGATATCTCTCTTAAACCACCAGTTCACATGTTTGGTTAGCGACCCAAGGCTCACGAGCCTGCAACTGTGCCTTGTCAAAGTGTCTTGCCACCTTTTTCGCTACCAGCCCAGGTCCGAATCGAAATGCCATCATCGCGTATGCCAGCAAGAGCACTAAAGTTTGTGTGAACTTGTGGTGTAAAGTTATAAACCAGCAGTTCACATGAGCCTAAGTTGGCGGAGCTACCTTCCAAGGCGCGCGAGCCTGCAACCGCTCCTCCTCAAAGTGGCCTGCCGCTTTCGTGAACAGACGTGGCCTGAATTAAAATGCTCTTCCTCTGTAAACCGGTATTGCTCTACTCTGCTTTGGGTGAAGTGGCTGTTTAAATAATTGATTCTTTAGACCTGGAAAATTGAAACCTTTGCTTTATTTGTATATCTGTGTGTACTAGACTCCAGGACTTTCAGCCTTCGTTCTATTTGCATCTCTCTTTTCTAGTGAATACAGACCTTTCAGCCTTAGCTCTATTGCCAAAAGACCTTGAAAATTGAAACCTTTGCTTTATTTGCATGTCTCTGTGTGTACTAGACTCCAGACCTTTCAGTCTTTGCTCTATTTGCATCTCTCTTTTCTAGTGAATACAGACCTTTCAGCCTTAGCTGTATTGCCAGCTCTTTTCTATGAGAAGGTAGATATGTCTTTTCTAGTGGATTCAAAAGACCTTCAAGCCCTTGCTTTATTTTCATCTCACTTTCTAATGAACTGGCGACCGTCAAGCCTTTGCTTTATTGTCAGTTGTTTTCTATGAATAACTATGTTGGGCCGTCGCCCGGCCTGGCACACCCTGGCCAGTTGGGCAGACGGGAGGTCGCCCAGCAAAACCAGACGGGTCAAAAAAGAGGCAAGGATCCGCCCCCCTCCCCTCCCCCCCCAAAAAAGACTTCGGGCCAGGATTGCGCTTGGCCTAAGCAGTCAGAATCCGGTCCTAACTCCGGTTTCGGTGATGGGTCATCCAGGGGGGTTTGGGGGGTGTAAACAGTGACTAAAGGGGTTAAAAGGGTACATTTGGGCTCACGTTTTCTCATATATTTTTTTATCTTAAAATTATCGAGGTGGCCCTCAGCGAAAAGTCGTTTGTATTGCAATTTTACAGAACATATTTTGTTTTCGGATTTTTTTGATTTTTTTTATTGTCTATTTGTTAAAGTATAATGCGCTGGGATTGCCCAGGACCCTACTCGGGCTGCCTGGGAGGGTACCTGGAGACCTTCCCCCAGCCGGGCTGCCTGGGGACTCACACAGATGATTATGCTTTGTCTCTTTTCTAGTTGATCCCAGATCCTCGAGCTCTTGCTTCATTTGCATGTGTCCAGGTTTAAGCTTTTTCGTTATCGTCATACATTTCTATATGCTCGTCCCGCCATCACTTCGGGCTGGTTCTACTTTGAGCTACTCTTCTTGTTTGTGAACAATCCGCTGATCACGGAGTAGACTTGTGAATTATCGACTGGTCACCGAGTAGATTCACTTCCTGGCTCTTGAGACCGAAGTCGCCAGTTCGAATCTGTGACCAGATTCACTTCCTGGCTCTTGAGGCCGAAGTCGCCAGTGCGAGTCTGTGCTTGCACCGAGTAGATTTGTGAATTATCGTAGGTGCTTCCTAGCTTTAGCTATTCTTCTCGTTTGTGAAGAGTGGACTTTCTACGTTGAGCTACTCTAGTTTGTGTGAACGATCCACTGATCACGGAGGAGATTTGTGAATTATCGACTGGTCAGTCCGGATGCACCCAGAACTTAGTGCCGTCCAGATGCAGATCATGCACCTGGTCTGTTTATGTGACGCTGTCCGTACTTACAGACAGGGGCTGGGCATGATATATCCATCTTCCTGGCGTTCGTTTTAGGATTTAATAAATTAATAGTGAAAAATGTTGGTAGTTTGGATGCACCCAAAAGTTAGTACAATCCGGATGCAGATCATGCACCTGGCCCTGCCCGTTTACATAGTTCAGATGGGGACTGGGATGATGCATCCGTCCACCTGCCATTCTTTTTTTTATTATAAATCTAAAAATTCTATTAATTCTAATAATGCTAATAGAGGAAGAGGTGGTTCTAATACTTCTATTAGAGAAAAAGGTGGTAGTTTGAATGGACCCAAACATTAGCACCGTCCAGATGCAGATCATGCACCTGAGGATGTGGTGTTGTCCATATACAAAGTTCAGACTGGGGCTGGGATGATACATCCATCTTCCTGGCTTTCTTTTCCTTTAGGACTTCAATTTTTAATAGAGAATATGGGCATGAAAGAAAATAGTAAAAATACATAAAAAAGTGCGTTGACATTTATAAAACCGCGTGGCGTGAAGGAAAATGCGTAAAAGAATGCAAAGTGTGCAGAACATTTGTTGGGCTAGAGGGAATTATTAACCATATTTATGGAAATTGTGCAAATCATGGAGAAAAAAGGGCAGAATTTGATCAGACACAGCTGGTTGTGACTACTGTCTTTGACTGACTTATCATGGGTGGGCTCCCATTTGCTCCATTCAATTGGGAGTGTAGATGATGGGAGAACTGTAGAAGAGGTGTTTCACAGGGTGGCAGTTATATCGGCTCAAGTTAGATTGTCTTCAGATTCTAACTTGGAACTAGAGAGGAAGTATTCAACCTGGCAGGAAGCGATCTGCACAGTTTTTTAAACCACTGAATCACTGATCTCCTTGTAGAAGGTTGGGATATATCATCGCATGTAAAAGACACGCCCATGACAGGCCATATGGTGTTTGGTGTTTGGATCGTGACTATAGTTGTGTGCATGCAGGTAGTGGAGGGGCAAGGTAGTAGATCCATTTGTGTTTGGAACACGGCCTCTTATACGGTCGGTCGCTTTTTACAAAGACGACGATAGTAGAATGCATGCAGGTAGTGCAGATGTCCTGGTTACCGCGCTGTAGAAGATTGGGATATCCGAGCGTGCAAGACTTCCAAGCGCACGCCTCTTCTCAGTGAGTGGAAAGGGCACAAGCCCACAACAGGCCATATTTTGGTAGAGTGTTTGGAACAAGGCTATGTGCATCCACATACTGCCATGGCAAGGTAGCAGATCGATGTAAGGCTGAGCTTTGTGATCGAGCTTCAGTGTTTGGTCTATGTCCACTCTCAGAGTGCTCTTTCTGCTCTTGAGATCACCTCAGGCTTGTTGAAGAGTTCTTGTAGTGGTGTTAACGTTTACATATCTGGTGTCTAAACTTTGTGCCAATTTTTCTTTGGGGTGCAAGCTTTAGCTACTCTGTGCCAATGTTGCTTGCCTGGAGTGCCTGCAATGCATTGCAAGTGCCTGTGATCCCTCCCGTGCTCCGTCCCCTGTTTCCCGGCGCGCTCCCTCACTTGCTCCCTCACTTGCTCCCTCACCCGCTCCTTAACCTGCTCACTCACACGTTCGCTCGCACGCTTCACTTGCTCGCTCTGCTCATCCTCTCAGCCATTCCCTCACTCGTTCCCTTCCTCATTCCCCTGCTCCTTCGCTTGCTCGCGTTCTCACTTGCTCCATCAATCAATCACTGACTCACTCCCTCACTCCCTCACTGAATCAGTCCCTCGCTCGCTCGCCACTCGCTCACTCGCTCACTCACTCACTTGCTCACTCCGGCCCTCCCTCACTCCCTCTCCCTCGCTCGCATGCTTGCTATACTCACTCCCTTACTGCTCACTGCCTTACTTTCTCGCTCCCTTACTTGCGCACTTGCTTGCTCATTCACTCGTCCATGCACTCACGCAGTTAGTAAGAAGTCGTACCTTCCTGGCAAACCCTTTTCTATATTAAAAAAAGGGGATGAAACATAGCTTCATGGCTACGGCTCTCTTCACTGTGGTGAACGTCAGTTCAAGTCAGGAATTAGTATGTATTATTGCATATTATGGTAATAATAATCAAGTAATTAAACAAACCCATTCATTTCTCCCCGTTATGGCTAGGAGATGCAGGTAATGCCGGGTGCCTTGCACTTCTCAGCTTGCTCGAAGGTGATGGCTGCCGGGTGATTCTGTAAGAGTGAGTGCAACCCTCGCTTCTCTTCCGCTCTTCTTGTTTCTTACTCCACCGCTCTCATTCTCACGTTGTTTCTTTAACTGCTTTCACTTCTCTCTCTCTCTCTCTCTCTCTCTCTCTCTCGTGACATTATTGTGCTCTCTCTCTTTCACTTTCTGTCCATCACCTCTTTAATTTTTGTTTTGTTTGGAAGGGAGAAGTCCCTTGACATTGTTGTGTTCTCTCTCTCTCCTCTTTACTTTTTGTTTTGTTTTGAAGGGAGCAGTCCGTTGACATTATTGTGTTTCTCTCTCTCTCCTCTTTACTTTTTGTTTTGTTTTGAAGGGAGCAGTCCCTTGACATTATTGTGTTCTCTCTCTCTCTCTCTCTCTCTCTCTCTCTTTACTTTTTGTTTCGTTTTGAAGAGAGCAGTCCCTTGACATTATTGTGTTCTCTCTCTCTCTCTCTACTTTTTGTTTTGTTTTGAAGAGAGCAGCCCCTTGACATTATTGTGTTCTCTCTCTCTCTCTCTCTCTCTCTCTCTCCTTTTTGTTTTGTTTTGAAGGGACCAGTCCTTTGACATTATTGTGTTCTCTCTCTCTCTCTCTCTCTCTCTCTCTCTCTCTCTCTTTTTGTTTTGAAGGGAGCAGTCCCTTGACATTATTGTGCTCTCTCTCTCTCTCTCTCTCTCTCTCCTCTTTCATTTTTGTTTTGTTTTGAAGGGAGCAGTCCCTTGACATTATTGTGTTCATGAGGATCTGAATTTTGAACTCGCGACCTGTCTATCAACAGTTGCATGTGTGTGCTATGCCGCCATTGGGCGGGCACTGAACTTGTTTCTCTTCTCCTCTGCTGTGTTCTCTTCTCGTGCTTTCTTTTCTTTTCTTTTCCCTCTGGCTTTTTCTCCTTGTAAGGAAGAACAACTCCGTCTATTCTGGGGATCGTCGGTCTGGTTTCTACTCCACCGCCAAGCCACAAAATTGCTACCTACTCAGAAGCATCCACTCATTTATAATGTTGCTTGCCTGGACTGCCAGCGATGCCTTGCAAGTGTGCGTGATCCCTCCCGTGCTCCCTCCCTGCTCCCCGATGTGCTCCCTCAACCGCTCCCTCACCTGCTCGCTCACACTTTTTTTACTTGCTCGCTCCGCTCATCTTTCAGCCATTCCCTCAGTCGTTCCCTTGCTCGTTCTCCTGCTCCTTCCCTTGCTCACTTTCTCACTTGCTCCATCAATCAATCACTGACTTACTCCCTCGATCAATCACGGACTCACTCCCTCGCTCCCTCACTTCCTCGCTCCCTCGCTTGCTCGTTCACTCACTCGTTCTCTCACTCGCATGCACCTCACTCCCTCACTCGCTCACTCGCTCGCTCACTCGCTCGTTCTCTCATGCACATGCATGCTATGCTCACTCCCTTGCTCGCTTGCTCATTCACTCACCCACGTACTCACACATTTTAGCGGGGTCACTCCCTTCTCTATGGCAAACCCTTTCCTGTATTAAAAAGGGAATGAGACATAGCTTCATGGCTATGGCTCTCTTCACTGTGGTGACTGGCAGATCAAGTCAGGAATTACGATGCCTTATTGTATATTATGGTAATAATAATCATATAATTATATAAACACATTCATTTCTCCCCTTATGGCTAGGAGATGCAGGTAATGCTGGGTGCCTTGCACTTCTCAGCTTGCTCGAGGGCAATGGCTGCCGGGTGATTTCGTAAGAGTGAGTGCAACCCTCGCTTCTCTTCCGCTCTTCTTGTTTCTTACTTCGCTGCTCTAGTTCTCTTGTTGTTCCTTGAACTGTTTCTGTCGTCTTCCTCTCTCTCTCTCTCTCTCTCTCTCTCTCTCTCTCTCTCTCTCTCTCTCTCTACCTACCTACCTACCTATCTATCTATCTATCTTTTAATTTTTGTTTTATTTTGAAGGGAGCAGTCCCTTGACGTTATTGCATCCATGTGGCTTTGAATTTTGAACTCGCGACCTGTCTATCAACAGTCAACTGTTGCATGTGTGCACTATGCAGCCATTGGGTNCGACCTGTCTATCAACAGTCAACTGTTGCATGTGTGCACTATGCAGCCATTGGGTAGGCACTGAACTTGCTTCTCTTCTCCTCTGCTGTGTTCTCGTCTCGTGCTTCCTTTTTTTTTTTTTTTTTTCCCTTCTGACCTTTTCTTTTAAGGAAGAACTTCTCCATCTGTTCTGGGTAGCGTCAGTCTGGTTCCTATTCCACTGCCAAGCCACGAAATACTGCTACTCACTCAGAAGCATCATTTCAACATTCAGGGGATATCCTGTCAGCATTGAGTGCTTCTGTTCGGAAGGGTTAACATTCAGTAACACCCAGACTGATAACTCCATAACCCCTCCCTCTACGCGCCTGAGCGGTTCCCTGAAACAGCATTCCCGAAAACAGATCAGGACTTTTGCTCTCAGACATTCTTTGCACGCTTCTTGGATTGCCCTGCCTAACAGCCGAAGGTTTAATGCCTGTGACAGACCATCTCGATCTGGATTATGCTGAACTCGTGCTGAAGATGGAGTCTGCTATGAGTACTACTGTGGACTCTCTTTCTTGCACCTCGTTGTCCACCATGGAGTGAGTCTGCCGGTCTCGACGTTGACAAGAAAGTAGCTTTTTGCAAGAAGAGCACTTTTTTTGGTCAGAGATTTTTTTGTAGTAAGAGTATGCACCTCTTTTCTGTTCTTTTGACACTGCACATTTTCTGCACCATTTCTCCCCCCCCCCCAAAAAAAAAAAAAACAAATCATTTCCATTGACATTGCTGTGATTACAGGGATGGAGATGGAATGATTCTCCAAACAGAAAATTGCTGCCTCTTACCTGAACTGCATTTTGCCATTTACCTTTTAGTGTAGCCTTTTTGAAGCATGACCGATGCCCATTTGAAATTCCGTCATCCCAGTTTCACCCTGCTTGTGTGAAGAAACCTCAAGAAAGTGTATTTAAAAGAAGTGGTGGGAAAAGTAAAGGAAAAAAAAAAGAAAAAAAAGTACTGATCTCCTCTCCATTGTGCAGGTCTCGGCACGGGAACCATTATTGGGTCAGCCGCCTTCAATGTGTTTCCGATTCTTGCTGTATGTGTTCTTGTGCCGAAGGCAGGAAGCATCAAGAAGATACAGAATTTCGGAGTTTGGGTGGTGGAATTCACATGGTCTATATGGGCATACATCTGGTTGATCCTCATTGTTCAGGTAAACAAGGACATACATTGATGGCATGGGTTGGCTTACCTTTTCCTGTGATGTGCTTTGTCCCCCTCTGCCCCACCTTCCCTTTCCCCAATGGCTAAACGACCAGTGCTCCGCTCAGCTGCCTGTGAGCATATGCCTGGAGGGATTATGTAAGGACTGAAGACCAGAAGTCGAGGGACGCAGAGAAGACCTTTTGGTGTGGGGCACGGCAGCGATTATGTAGGGGCTGAAGAGCAGAAGTGGAGGAGGCCGTGGTTATGATGGTAGCATTGGTAGGCGATGGAATGCATGCGTTTGATGGAGAGATCAGAAGAAGGGAGAGTCAGGATTTTATTATTATTATTATTATTATTTTTTTTTTACCCAAGCAGAACCTTATGGTTCTGGCTTTTTTTCCATTCTGGGGAGCATCAGCCCGGTTCCTATTCCCCTGGGAAGTCCAAGATAGTACAATGCTTACTCACTCACGCTCCTCCCCCTTATGGTGCGGAGGCCCAGATGACGGCATTGATTACTTCCTTGAAGTAGGATGTACTGATCTTCACCCTGCTTAAGTTGGCCTGTTCTAGGCTGTTATTTTCCTTGGAAGCTATGTGTCTGCTACTTGACTTTGCTCGACAGTTCCGGTCTCTTTTCTGTCTGTTCCTCACTGTCGATTGGACCTATGACGTGTCTGTGTTTTCCTGGGACTGTGGGTGTGATGGACCCTTTTGCTCTAATTCCGCAATCCTTTGGAGCAGTTTTCCTTGAAAGTAAAGTCTGAGGCTGAAACCCTAAACCCTCGGTAACAGGGTCCGCATGTTGACCAAGCTGAAGTAACTTCAGAGAGTAACGTCTGAAAGCTACCTTGAAAGAAGCATCTGAAGCTAAAACCCTAAAACCTAGAGATCTGGGAGGCAGGAGGCGCGTTGACTGAGCCGTTATTGGGAGCTTGGACCGTTTATCTTGATGGGGGGTTGGTGTGGTGGGTAATAGGTGTTAGAATTTAATGTGGAGTGGATGACGTAGGCGAGTTGGGTTTGTGGTGTGGGAATGAGACCTGAAGGATGGGAAGGTGTTTAGATGGTGAGGTTTCGGGAGAAGTTTGATGTTGGGCAGTGGTTGGGGGGGGTGCGGTGGTAGGTGGTTGGGGGGGCGGGTGCGGCGGTAGGTGGTTAGGCTGGGTTGATAGTAAGGTTTATATATCGGTGTCTGTTCTTTTTCTACTGTTCCTAGTTTCCTGTTGCCTAGATTCAGGGAAATGAATTTATTAATGATCTCTTGTTTCTTATCTGGGGCATTTTGTAGGGACTGGAGTTTCGTGTATGTTATGTTCCATCATGCTTGGATTGCGGTTTCCAACATATGTTTAATGGCTATGAGGGGGTTTCAGGGGTGTTACTATTGTCGCCGAAGGGTGCTGTGCATCTCCTTTTCCAGATAGTCCAAAGGGTCGATTTCCTGATGAGTGAGAAGAAGAAAAGCTCAAAACCTTTGCGGGGTGGGTCTTGTTCTACTTCTAGGAATAGGGTGCCTGGGTTGATCGCGATGGTTTCATTAGAGTGCTTGTTCCAGGTTAATTCCATATCGTGCCAGAGTTGCTTTGTCTTTTGGCAATCTATGAGGGAGAGTCAGGAATATAGTCGGGAGGAGTGGCTGCGTCTTTACTGACTGGCTGGCTGGGTGGGATCTTGATGGCTGGCTGGACAAGAAAAGATGGGTTTCTGGATGCGGCTCTATCCTGCGATCTTGTGTCATGTGCCACCCTACTAGGGAATACTGGGGCCGAGACATTTTGGAACTCACAGGATATCCGGGGCTTGATCTCAATTTTTTTAGGGGAACGTTCATGGTGACGCATATCCCGTGCTCATTTTCACACAGCCCCTCAGTGCTCTTTCAACGGCGAACCGCACCAGGCTCTGGAGTTGGGGGGTGCATGCATGCTCAAAGGTGCTGACTGTTGCATGGCTTCAATGTCCTGGCTGACAATTTCTGCCTCTGCGATGGGTGTTGTGTGGGCATGCTGTATTAGCACTTCCTAGTGGCGGTGCTTACCGTGGTGCATGTAAATCAAGTGCCTTCTGTAACACATTTGCGAGGGTCTGAACCCTCAGCAGCATCCAACGGGCCCCATTGACAAGCACTGTGCCCACCCTAAGTGAAGGTGGGCCTGCATTTGCCAACGCGACCTATTTTTTGGCCTATCTAAGAATGTGGGGCACCCCAGACAGTTACTGGACGCCAGTTGGTTACGGAGGCCGTGTGAGACCACAGCCTTGCGCCCAGGCCGCACCTGAGGGAACCACGTCGCACATTGGCTCTCAGCCAAAGGGTGTCCTGGAGACGGTGCGTGCTACGTCGCACGGCTGGGCGACTGTAACTGATTCGGTCCCACGCCGCTGTCGGAACTGGGACTGGGCGCAGATACTGGGACTGATCTTGAAGCTACTGGGAACCAGCGACGTCCAGCCCAGGGAAGTCCATGCAGTAGGCACTTTCCAGAAAGGAAAGTGCGTGCTCACAGCCTGGCCAGACATTCTGGCTGGCACATTGCTGTGCGAGCCCTGCCACATTGTGATTTGGGCAGGCGAGCGCTGGCCAGGTTGTGTGCACGCGGGCGCTGGACGAGCGCTGCTGGATGCAGTGCTGGAGAGCAGCCATAGCCGGGCTGCTGCTCCTTGTTGCCGGTGGTGGTTAGTTGGTAGTCCTTGGGACACGGCAACATGCATGTTCGGGCAGACAGAAGAGGAATGAGAGAGAGAGTGAGAGAAGGATGTTCCTGGTAGTCTCGGAGGTCTGCATTGGCAACATCTGCATGTACACCAGTTCTGCTGCTGCGGTCTTCCGGTTGCATGGTTGTAGCTGATAGGCTAGTATAGGTCGTCGAGTCTGTAGATTGGGCGCCATGCGCCAGATGGAAGAGCGACATTGGAAAATTTGTTGATGGTGGCGAGAAAAGGGGCTGACATCGACGACTCGGTCCATTGCTTCGCTCTTATTGGTGTGTAATTACTAATTGCCAAATTGGTGCATTTCTGCTTTCTGTGCGACACGTGACTATCTGGTTCTCAATGTGACGATGCAATTTGGATTTCTCTCATTCACTCGCACTCATTTTCCTTGCACATTTCTCTCCCTTCATCTTTTCCTGTTTTTGATATTGAAACTTACGAAACTGAGTTGTAATCAGAAAGTATGGTGCGTGAGTTGATCACGTCTCTTGTCTGCCTAGTTAAGGAAATCCACTGTTTTGCAGATCTCTGTCTTGTTTTTTTCTTCTATTAGACCACCAGTACACTGCCCCGGAAAACTCCGGGGGTGTGAGCAGGGTTGGCATTCTGGGTTCGTCGGGGGCGTGAGCAGGGTTGGCCTCGTGGACATCTTTGGCTGGCAGCTCCAGCCAAAGCGAAAACGACACTGTGCCATGTTTGTTTCATCTTTGGCGTGCAGCGCAACTCTGCCTCGGCAGAGAAGAGGCTCGGAGGTACTGGTGGTTTAGGGTTCGGAAAGCAGTCCATCGTAAGCGTAACCTGTGGTAGTTGGGTGTGCTACTGTTTCATCGGCTTGGTGCTTTTCTTTCTTTCACTTTTTGTTTCCCTTTGACTGGGGGTAACTTGGCTCTAGAGGCTGAGGTCGCCGGTTCGAATCCGCACATGCAGGGATGAGGTCTGAGGCAAATAAAGTACAGACTGAGGGTAGCACAACAGTTCATTGGACCTTGTCGTGCTCCTTGGTACACCAGAATGATGGCCTTATCAAGTTGTCTGTGCACATGCTTTGTGTTGCAGGTGTGGACACCAGGTGTGATCACTGTGACTGAGGCTGTTATGACAATACTACAGTTTCCAGTCCTGATCCTCCATGCGTATGGACAAGATAAGAAATGGTTCTCATCGGGCAATCGGTTGAAAGTGTGGAGAGCCATCATGCAGAGGCAAACCCTGCACTCTGCAAGTTCGCTGACACCACTGGACGATGCGGATGATGCGAGGAACCATGTCCTGCCGTCAAGTGCTGACCACAGCGGCCACATTGAGGTAGAAGAAGAGGGCGGTGGAGACAGGTAAGATTCATCCAGCCTGCTATGTTGATCTATATATTCCAGAAAGAGAATCAGAACTGTTGAAATAGAGACTATGAGTTGAACTCCGCAGGAAGCAAACGAGTGAATCAGTTAAAAACACTGCGACTCTGAATAACCCAGAGCCGGTCATTGCGATGATGATATCTCAAGGCCGTCGCCCTGTCCTTTTAGGCAGGGTAAAAAAGAAAAGAAAAGAAAATGGATCAGAAAAGAATCAAAAGATAGATTCTTTTTTGTCTTCCCAAACAGGGCCTTAATATGGTCCTGCAGCATATGTCGACTGATGTGTTGTTGGTATTTCAAACCCTGATGAGAGGACTATGATGACCAGGGGTGGTGTCGGCGTTCGACTACTGTCACAATCTGCGATAGAAAAGTTTTGCAAGCTCGGCTGCTCTGGTAATTTCTGCTATTAACTGTTTCACAACTTCACACCTACATGTGTCAATTGATTTGTCTGAAGACCAAACCTCAGTGTGCAATAATGTCAAGGGCAGTGTCACTTGTGTGAGAACCGCTTTCACTCCCTTTTTTTGCGGAAGGGCAACAGCCTTGAGATATCATTATTGAACTGGCTGGTCCCCAGGTAATTCACAGAATGATTTTGTTGTGGTCATCTGGTTGTATAGGGATTCAAACTTCAGTCTGCATTTCAACATTTCATGGGTGAACCAACTGAAGAGCTACTGTAGGCCCAACCAGGTTTCACTCCTTTTTTGCTCCTTTTTTTTTTCCCCCGATGGATCGCGGATTAGATATTGCGCTTGAGAGTCCTTCGGGACATCCGTTAAAATTGGAACCATACAGAGAAGATTAGCATGGGCAAGGGGAGGGGGGGGGGGGGGGAATTAAAAAGATATTGCGCTTGAGATAACCATGTTGAAGGAACTCAGCAAAGTGACTCCGTGGCTTGGGAAGGAGGAGTGCTTTTCTTTGCAAAAGTGGCACATAACAGGGGGTAGCGACTGTTTATTTATTATCAAGTTTGATCAGAGCATTTACTACACTTGATATTAGCCAAAGTCCAGGAAACTGCTTTGATTCTTTATGCCATTTGTCATTTAGTAGCATGCATGGAAAATTGGAATGCAATTCATTTCTGTGTGGGGTGAATGGAACGGGACTTGTTCTGCAAGTCCCGTGAACCCCATCAATGGCTGAGATTCCACCTGAAGAGATTAACAGATGCTGATCTTAGATTCAATACGTAGGGTGTACTAGGTTCAGTGTTTTTTCCCTTTAAACCACGAGTACGCCGGGCCTGCAGGTGCCTTACTGCGTGCCAAGCTTTTCCAAACCGTCAGCGGCTCACTTTTTTTTCTTTTTTGGCTGGCGCTGCCAGCCATTGTCGTCCGGTAGGCCGAGCCTCCAAAATTTCTGTAGGCGACAAGTTTCTTTTTCAGCAAGGCCGGGGCCCGTGTACTGGCAGTAAAAAAAAAAAGAAAATAGGGGCAGTATTCTCTTAATCCGCACCGGTCGAATCGTACTACAATCTTCTAGGAAGATTCTCTCGCCCGGCCGGTGCTGCTCGGCCGGGCACCCGGTAGTGCAAAAAAATAAAAAGAAAGATTTTTTTTTTTTTTTTTTTTTTGGTTCTCTGCGCTCTCCCAGAGGACCCCAAATCCAGGCTCGTTGGCTGTCACGGGTTGGGGGGGGCGGGGAAGGGGAGGGGGGTATAAATTGGTTTTAAAGGGGCTAAAGGGGTTTACAGGGGGGTGCCTTGGAGCGATTCTGTTATCTTCTTTTTTTATCTCCGATTCTGAGAGGAATTCTAATGTGACCCTCGGCCAAAAGTCGTTTGTATTGCAATTCTACACGACATATTGTTTTCCCGGAAATTTTTGAATGTTTTCTTATTGTTATTTTTTGCGCTGGGGCTGCCTGGAGGTCATGCCCGGCCAGGCACCCGGGTGTATACCCGGGCATAAGTTGGGTGCCCGGGCTCCCGGAAAAGCAGCCTAGATTATCTTAGCCAATCACTCGTATCTACCCCTTCTGCTCTACGTAAAGTTCGTAAACAGCAAAAATGCTTGTAATACCACAGAAAAAATAAGACACAGAATGGTGTGCTTTGAGTCGGTATACTTGAGATACCGACTCAAACCTGGTGAGGGGTTGGTTGTGTGTCCCGCTCAAGTTAAATAGGCTGCAAAGCGGTGGTAATCAGCAACACTGTGAAAAGAGGATGCACCGAAATTAATATTGGCAGTGTGAGAAGAGGATGCACCGGAATTGGTATAGCGCAGTGTGAGAAGAGGATGCACATCAAGGAATTAAATAGTCGTTTAGTCTGTTGAGACATAAAACTGACTACACATAAAGAACCTTGGTACTGAGGTCTATGGGTCGGGCACAAACCAGGTAATGAAAAAGACGATTGAACGAATGGTAAGGAGTGGGGAGAAGAAGAAATGCTGGACAGATCATCAGGTAAACATGCTGAGGCACCGACTGGCCTAGCTCAGTTGGTACACCTATCAGCAATTGAAATGCAGACCTGAGTTTGCAATGCACTGGAATCAGATGGGGGGGAAAAGAAAACAAGAAAGGGCGAGAAATTTGGAGAAATTCGGAGAAACAAAAGAAGGAAAGAAGGAAAGGACAAAGAAAAAGGTAGCACGCGAAGGTGAGGATGTATAGAATCTTTACATGGAGTTCTTTTGTTGACTCTGTTGTTATTCTCTGTTTTCCACTTTTTTTCAACTTCCAAGGTGTGTTGTTATTCTCTGTTTTCCACTTTTTTTCAACTTCCAAGGTGGCTGAGTTAGACTCTGCTCCCGGGTGTCGGGTGTGTGTTGCAAGGTCTCTCTTCTCCTCCCTCTCCGAGAGCTCCGATCTTAAGTGATTCCTGAGTAAGTGGGAGGGTCCGCTATGCCAACAGGTGGGCTGAACCCGGCGCGTGAAGCCCCCTGCCGGACTTCCTCCCTGAGTCATAACCCCGACGCCTCCCAACCCTTAAGACTTTGCCAGCTCACTGGGTAAAGGCCGCGGTGTTCTGAACTACACGGTGATATGATGAGACACTTTAGTCGGTTTCCAGCTGGTGCTGCTCCCCACCAATAGACCGGAGCTACCCGCAGCAGGTGCTTCTAGAGGAGGTTGCTCATATCACCCCTCCAGCACACCGGTACAGGGATTTTTCAACCAAAAAAAAAAAAAAAAAGTTTGCCAGCTCATCTCAAATGCTGTGGCTGTGGTAGACCAAGTTTTCAAGTAGCGGTGACGATGCAGCCACAGCTCTCAGAGTTGTGCATGCATCGGCACAGTGTGAGAAATTGAGAACCTCTTGTCTATGGAGCCAATGGAATGTTGACTTGGAGTTCTTATGATGACTCTGTTGGCACTCTCTGATTTCCCTCTTTTTTTTCTTTGTTGACTTCCCAGGCGGCTGAGTTGGAGTTCGCCACCTCATCACAAATTCTCTGGCTCTCGTCGACCAAGTTTCCAAGTAGAGGGGGCGATGCACCCACAGCACCAGGACTTTTGGATGCATCGGCACAGTATAAGGATGTCGCCCATGCCTATGGAGCCAGGACGTGAACATGCAGATCACTATCCTAGCCGTCGTCCGTCAGGTATGGATGGGCATTGCTGCTTATTTACTCTTTTTTTAAGGGTTTTTTAAACTTTTTTTTTTTTTTTTTTTTTTTTTTTTTTTTTTTTTTTTTTAATGAAACGGCGATGGCCTTGTGAAGTTGAGATACTATCTTCAAAGTTCAAACTGACCTTCCCCAGGTAAATTCGGAGTTATTTACTCATCTGAGTTCTATAGAGCCAGGAGGTGAGCATGCAGATCACTTTCCTAGCCGTCGCGCATCAGGTACGGATAGGCATTGCACCTTTTGTGTGTGTGTGTGTGTGTGTGAAAGAGCTATGGCCTTAGGATATTACAGGTAAAAATTTTGAGTTATTCACCCATCTGAGTTCGTGAGGATTCGAACGGAGGTCTGTATTCCATAATTCATGGGGTTACCAACTGAGCTACAGGGTGCCAATCGGCACAGCTTGTTTACTCTCTTTGTTTTCTCTGCAGTCAGGAACCTGATGTGCACTTCTCTGCGGAGTTTCTGAGGCGCTAGTCGCACAGGACTTGTGTGAATGAATCTGGATGTAATTTAAGGCAGATACGTCCAGGAAAATTGTCTTTGCGAGTTTGCCCTGAGAATGTTATGGTAAGTCTGAAAGATATATTTTATGAAATCGTCTTCAGCCAAGTCCAAAGACGCTGAACACGAACGTTCGACTCGTGAAAGATATTCTTTATGAAGCCATCTTCAGCGAAGTGTAATGAACCCAGTCTCGTCATCCAATCATATCGCAGTTAACAATGCCGTGCAATGTTGGGAGATGATCAATCCAACAAGTCCATCAGTTCAAAGTCGTTGAAGTACATGTTTCTTCATTATCACGTGTGTGTCTCCAAGTCCACAGTATCCAGAAAAGAGAGGAGGGGAGAATAGACAGTTGGAAGGAGAAGTGTAGCACAGCAATTAAACCGCTAGTACACGGCCCCAGCCTTGCAGAAAGGTTTTGTCGCCACAAGCAAAACTTGGAGGCGCCGTGCAGCCAGGCCTGCCGTTGAAAAAAAAAATTGGTGGCCTCCGAAGTGGTGGGGTTTCATGCTGACACGTGCAGGCTGATATGTCGTGTACTGGTGGTTTAAGGCCCTCTTCTCCCTCAGGCTCCCCACCTCTGCCACGTCAGCAATCTGAACTCAATGTGCCATGTCAGCAATCTTAACTCGATGCACCTCGTCAGCAATCTGCACTTAATGTTCCACGTCAGCACTCTGTACTCATGTGCCACGTCAGCAATATGTACTCTATGCACCATGTCAGCAATCTGTACTCTTGTGTAACACGTGGATGATGTGGAAGCAGCCCCTCACAGACAAACGATCCCCCAATAGTGAGCAGAATCGGCAGCAGCTTCTGATGAAACCACATACGTACGCACGACGACTCACATCACCCACACTCTCTCTCTCCCTCTCCTCGTTCCCTCGCCGTCATCTATGGTTGCGGCCGTTGCCGCCCTCTCCCTTTCTCTATACTTCAGTGTCTGGCTGGCGCCCATCAAGGAGTCTGGCGCCAGCACCTCCTCTCAAGTCTCACGTGCAGCGTCGTAGCCGCAAGCAAGTCGCAAGACTGACTGTTCAGGCAGTGGCAAGGTAAACTCTGGCCGCCAATTGGGAATGATCTAACAGTTGTCCACAGGTACCAGAAGATTCAGGCCTCATGGAGTCCAGACCGAAAGTGGGACAAATTGCATTTGGGACGTTTTGGATGATCCGGGGCTTCACCTGGACATAACTGGTCGAGGCCCTAGGCGTGGCGAGTGCCCGTCGGGGTATCATTTTGCATACGGGGTGCAGCACAAGTCCAAAGACGCTCAACACGAACGTTTGACTTGTTGACAGTTCTCAGAAGCTTCTGCGACTTTTCTTTTTCTGAAGTTCTGTTTTGAAAGCTGTTCTTTGTGGGTACTACTGGATATGTTCAATTGTTCTATTTCTCTCTCTCTCTCTCTCTTCTTCCTCGAAAAACTTCCGAAAAAGTGAGATGTTGAGCTGACCAGCCCCAGTTAATTTGGGAAAACTTCCGAAAAAGTGATTTAGGGCCTTTTTAGGCTCATTTAGCTAAATAATTCTGATGAATGGCATGAAATAATTCTGAACTACTGGGCCCTTTTTGAATTTATCTCTTCCCTCCAGTTAAAAAAAAAATAAAAATAAAAATAAAAAATCTGAACTACAGGGGGCCAGTCAGTTCGATGATGATATCGCAAGGCTGTCACCCTGTTAAGAAAATAGGCTATATGTGTAGAAAAGGCTATAGTATCAAATAGTTTTGTCTTTTTTAGATAGAATTATCGTATACTAGTCAGGGTTTGTGGGTATCCCATGGCTATAACCTCATGCTATGTAGAGACGTGTGCGTCCAAAATCCCCGAACCTATTTCCTTATCCTATCAATTTCTATGTCGTGAAGGGTTGTGTCTGGTAATACCAATAGACTGACAGCAAGATTAGATCCATTGGGGTGTATTTTAAAAAAGGAAAACCAGGAATGACGACTTTGGGTGTCAGGATTCCATTGGGGTGAATTTGAAAAACGGAAAACGATGAAGTGTATGTATTCCGGTGAAAGGGAATCACTCTTGGGCCCCCCAACTTTTATTTCTGTGATTTAGTAGATGCTACTGCGCAGGGCAGGGACAGGCTCTGCGACCTCCAGCTGCGGAAGGTATACCACTGTCTTCACTCAAATAGAACATCCGGTCATAACAGCCGTTTTGGTGCTACTTTCCATCTTAGATACAGCGATGATGACCGGGGCATCCTATTCGGGCGAAGACAGTAGCCTACTATTGCAATTACAGAAAAGAGCAATTGTGACATTGTACGGAATATGTACCTGAGAATCCGAAAAACGTACCTATCACAGTCCATCAGCGCGGTCTTGGAGCAAGGGACCGTGCTAATCTCTCTGTATCGTTCCAATTTTAGCCTACCTAGATTTTTTATCATTTTTCTTTCCTTTCTTTTAAATAATTTGGACCATTTCTCGATTTATGCGTGTCATCCTTGCGCAGGGGCCATCCTAATCTTCGTTCTCTGTATCATTCCAATTTTAACGGATGTCCTGAAGGCCTTCCTTTTTTCATTTTTTTGTTGGCCCCTACGGGTTATTTAAGTCCGATAGTGAGCACCAAAAAAAAATAAAAAATAAAAATCACACCAAATCGAAGGCCAGAAATGAGAAATCTGGGCAGGTCGAGACGCTGTGGCGAAATCATTCCCCACGATCTCGACTTGCTAACGCTGCACCAAATCTGTGCCCATATTTTTATTATTATTATTTTTTTTTTTTTTAATCAAAACAGGTCCTTATGGCCTTTCTAGGTTCTTCCTAGTGCCATAACGGGAAGCGGTCCTTCAGTTCAGAAGACCTTTTGACGGTGAGCACATGTAATGAACAGCCAGCCATGGTAGTACTCTACTACTCTCTAGAGTCTCTACCATTGGGCTGGCAGAGATGAACATGCGATATGCCATCATCAAGGATGCTGCACCCGCCTTCCTGAACATGTGTGGCGCATGATGATGATCTCCAGATGCATCAAATCGAAACTGGTTTTCGGAAACATCGAATTCATAGGTTGCAGTTGTGTATTCTGCTCTCGATGTTGAAGACGTGCACTGCCGTTGATCATTGGTGTCTCTGTTCTCCTTGCTCTGTTGCCATGAAGCAGCGCCGGTGAATCATGAGAGCAGCATTAATCCTTGTCATAAGCGAGCGACAGAGAGCATTGACAGAGGAGCTGGCAGGCAATCTGGCAGCCATACCGTTGCTTTGCAAGACCACCAACCTCCTCCCTCATGTGCAGCACAGGACGTTCCACCTCTATCTAGAGCTCTATCTTTTGTTGAGCCTCTCGGTTGGGAGGACATAAAGAGCTTGTGGAGAGATCAATTCTGCGATGCAATGACGGTATTTCCCTTCCCTCTTCTACACTCAATCAGAATCTTCTTCTTGTGATAATGACAGTAGTGGACTAGATTAAGTGGGCAAGTGTGGATGTAACACCATATGACGAGCCATCGTCGAATATGTTTGATTTACCTGCGGTGATTATCTGTGATCGCATATCCCTTTGTTGAAGTTTGTTCCTTTATTTTTTCTTTTCTTTTGAACGATATACTCTCAACTTGACTGAAATGAAATAGGCTTCGTCTCTGAGGCTGGGAAGGAAGGCGTGCCTGAAATACTGTTTGCTGAGAGCTTGGAGTTGTTGCTGTGCTGTTGGATTGGGGTCGAGTGCGTGCGGGTGATGGAAGTTTGAACATTTTGATTGCAATGTGCGTGTGTCAAAAGTCTTTGAGAGGGAGGTAGGGTCACAACAGTGATGGAACATCAGAAATGAAAGGAAATCCAAGCCTAGGTGACTGAGGAGTCTCAGATCTATGTGCCAATTGTTGCCACATTAACAGCTGCCTGTAGGAAAGTTTTCTGGGTCAGGTCCAATTTTGTCCGACTCTCTCTCTCTCTTTCTCTCTCTCTCTCTCTCTCTCTCTCTCTCTCACACACACACACACACACACACACACACACANCACACACACACACACACACACACACACACACACACACACACACACACTCACACATTTGGAGCTCCACATCTCCAATGCTCGACAATGTCGATTTAGGTGAGTGACATGGCACTGCTACGAGTGATGTCAAGTCGTACATGGTCAGTGGCCTCTTGGAATGAAGGGTATGTTGCGGTAGGCGAGAGGGATTATTAGTAATTGGACAATGGTTAATGTTGCTTTTGTTGGTGGGAAAGTGGGCAAAGGATGCGCAGGTGGGATGAAGTTAGGTAATTCCAAAAAACAGGATTTATGATTTAAAATTTTCATTTAAATTGATTTAATAGGTTTATCACATTAATAGGTTTATCACACACCCGAACACATCAGCCATCCAATCCTACAACCTAGACCTACAAACACCCCACGCAGTCTCTTGTCAAGCTAGCAAAACAGTACGAGTTCCTCTCCACAAATACTTCCTGAAACGACTCTCTTATCCTTTTAACACGAGAATAACTTAGGATCCGGGTTACAGACCATGAAAAGAGATTTTTCAAGTAAAGATTAACAGGCCAGGCTAGCTAAATTAGCCAGGGATTAGGTTTTAGCGCCAGGTAGATTTTGTAGATGTGGAAAGATGATAAAAGGATGAGAGATTTTAATCTCACCCATTGGCATTAGTAACTAGACCAAGGAGGGTTTAGACTCTTTAGAGTTGTACCAATACCTATTGAGGATGATCAAGTCTACAGTTCTCGTGCTTAAAGAGAATCTGGCAGTACTTAGAGGAACAGGTGAGATGAGGCCTCCCTGAAGCAAGCCTACAGGGTCCATAATTCTGGGCTCTTTTAGATCACTTAGAGTCAAAATAAAAGGAACCAGGCTAACTTTGGCAGGTGGATCGCAGAAGATCCGTGGTACCCGCAAGGGTGAGGGGTGGTACATCCCTCCGGCGAGAAGTAATCAATGCCATCCGTTCTCCTACCTTAAAAGGCCTCAAGGGGAAGAGCGTGTGTGAGTCCTAAATGTACTTCCTTTTGACTTGCCGGTGGAATAGGAACCGGACTGATGCTCCCCAGAAATGTAAAGGAGCCAGAACCAAAAGGTTGTGTTTAATAAAATAAAAAAAAAGGAAGGTTTATCCGACTTCATCGTTGTTTGGTCCCTTTCTGTCCGACTTTCACCGGACCAAGAGGGTATCACTCACCCTCTACTTGATGCTATTGTGTGTTCCACAGGACTAGCACTTTCACCTTCCTGCTGTGTCTGAGGTGGTGAGGACACTGAGGAGGTTAAAGAAGGCTAATGAGAAGTTTAGCCGTTATTGTTCGCAGGCGCATATTGTGTCAGCCTCATTTGATGTCAAACACATGTTTCCTCGTTTGGTGCATGTTTTGAGGTGATGGAGGCGTGTGGAGTGGTGGTTGTAGAGTGTGCTTGTTACACACTTGTCACACGGGCCCGGTTAGGCCCGACAGATAGGGGTTCGGAGGCCGGTCCAGGCCCAAGGCCGGACCTTTAGACCGGAGGCGCCACTGTAGGCCCCCCGGTTGGCCTTTAGGCCACGATTTAGGACCAGACCAGACGGGCAGGCCCAAACGACATTACCGTTGGGCCTGGCGGCGCTCTTGAGGCTGCCGCCCGCTGGTCTGATCTGAATCGTCACTTTTGACGATTCAGATCACGGCTCGGCCTCGCAGCATAGAGGCCGGCCTTCCACACCGGTACTTAGGTACCAGGAGGCCGCCCCCTTGGGCATTCTGGAGCAGCAGCATTTCGGAGGAGCGCTGCGCTATTTCTGTTTAGAGCGCAGCGCTACAGCAGCAGTGCGAGGTTAGCGCCAGTTAGGGATAGAGAGCGAGCGAGGTACTTACCTGGTACTTACCTGTGGCGCCATAGCTTCAGAGGACTTCGACTTCAGAGGGCTTCTATTCAAGGCGCCACCTTGCATCCTGCAGGTAAGGCTTCGGGCCAGGACAGGGTAGTGAGGACTCTCCTCCTCCCTACCTCACCACCTTTCCCTCCTCCTCTGCTATCTCCTCTTCCTCTCCCTCTTCTTCTTCTCCTTCTTCCGACTCTTCTTCTTCTTCTTCGGATTCATTCTTCATCTTCTTATTCAGATTGGAGATTTGGATTCGAGTTGGACCGAGATCAGTGTTCGGACTTGGATGGTAAGAGGCTGTGGTACTTACCGGATTCGAGACTTGGAGGTAGCTGGGATTGATACTCGGCGGCATCACAGATTTGGCACCAGTTACATTAGGACTCTGTACCTCCGACATTGGTGACTTATTGTCCACGACATTTTGATCTTGTTCGATGACATTTTGGACTGCCATATCGGTGACCTACTGGATTCTATCTTGGTGACATCTGGCGCTGCCTACATCTCCCACCTCCTTCGTCTCTCCTCCCACCTTTCATCTGTGCATGGTTGTACGGGGCCTGAGCATCGTCTATGATTGGCTCAGACCCCACCATCTCACGATTGTTTGTGTGTTGAGTGATATCTGTATGAGTTCAGTCTATGTGAGTCAGTCCATTTCTCAGACTTCCGCTGCATACATGCTCATCCTTAATTGGTTGATCTTTGGTTCTGCCCATACTTGTTGAAGTATTCACAAGTATGCAACAGTGCTTTTCTCGAAAGGTAGGAGGTCGATTCCAGTCAATCGCAGAGGCCAGGGTGCTTGTCTGAGAAGGTATGAACTTATAAAGGGGATTCCATTCGATCCAGGAGGAAAGGGTACATTGTTTGATTTTTAAGAATGTATAGCAGTGGTGGCCTGTGGACATAAGTTGAAGTAAGCGAGTTTGTGGCTGGCTCATACTGTTACTGAGGGTTATGTAACTTATGTCGCCATGGCCTATGGGCAAATTATGAATCTGCCACTCGCATGCATGCATCATGTGTGCATGTGCAGAGTGAGGTTTTCTGGGGTCCATTGGTGCAATGGTGTTGATCGAAAGTTGGTGTGCGGGTTCCGTTTGGTGGCTTGTGGCCGTAGTTGAAGTAAGGGAGTTTGTGGCTTTTGATCTGTGGGGCTCGTACCCTTAACCACAGCGTCGGGAGTGCTTCTAAGGCTCAGGGTTATGTCCGCGTTGGGAAAAGTACTCTTGGATGCTCGGGGTAGCGTTTTCCGGGGTCCATTGGTGTCGACCGGAAGTTGTTCTGCGGCTTCCGCTTGGTGGATGACGTTTCCCTTTCCATTGCTTGCCGACGTGGGAATTGAAAGGGATTCAGATCAGACGGTGGTTTGCAAGGTGCTACCCACGGAATTTGACGGTAAAGAGAACTGATGACTAGTCGGGGTCTTGGGAGTTTTTGGGGTGTAGAACGAGTGTTGTACTTCGGTTTCGGGGGTCGGTACAGAAGGTCAAAAATGAAGGTACGATCTGGGAATCTGAAGTCCTTGGGATCAGAATCGGGCAGGACTACAGGTCCTGGACCCGTAGACGTCAAAAAGTGGCCGCCTTTACGGAGAGTCTCCAGATTGGTTTTCCTAGAAGGTGCTGGTAAAGTTTTTGCGAAGATGCAAAGCAGTGTGGAGTCTGTGGACAGACAGTGGAGTTGTTTGTTAAGTTTGACGTAGATAGTATTTAGGGTTTACATCTTTAGTTTCCCGTCCGCCTTTTCCGGCGTCCACTTTTTCCGGCAATGTGACATGGGGGTCGGCTTGACCGACCCGATGACGTCAATTTGGGTTTGGGGAAGGCTGAATATGCAAAGCAGTGTGGAGTCTGTGGACACAGACAGTGGAGTTGTTTGTTAAGTTTGACGTAGATAGTACTTAGGGTTTACATCTTTAGTTTCCCGTCCACTTTTTCCGGCAATGTGACATGGGGGTCAGCTTGACTGACCCGAAGATGTCAATTTGGTTTTGGGGAAGGCTGAATATGCAAAGCAGTGTGGAGTCTGTGGACACAGACAGTGGAGTTGTTGGTAAGTTTGACGTAGATAGTATTTAGGGTATACGTCTTTAGTTTCCCGTCCACTTTTTCCGGCAACGTGACATGGGGGTCGGCTTGACCGACCCGATGATGTCAATTTGGGTTTGGGGAAGGCTGAATAGCCCCGGGCAAAGGTGGTGGTCGAAATGCAACACAAGTGCCACAAGAGATGTATTATTGAAGTTTTTCGGATTTTGTCTACTCTGTTCACGTCGCGGAGGGTGTACTACGCGAGGCACCATTTGTGTGTGTGCGAATGATGTAATGTCGGATTTGAAGGTTTCTGCAATTCATGCTTTGGAAACGTGTTCAGAACTTAAGAGTCGTTTTGATGCACAGCCTTTTCAGTCTGTTACCCTCTTTTCCAGCACAGTGTGGCGCATTGAGCTGGAGAGTGCTGCTCATCAAGTCCCTCCAGTAGAGTGTGGGGCATCCAGTTCCTCCTCTTCAGCCCCCTTCTCTGCAGAAGTCCCTCCACTAGAGTGACGAGCAATGCCTCACGTACAGTGTTCAACGACTTGGAACTCTTTTTTTTTCTTTTTTGAATTATTATTAGTCATTATTAGTTATCGAGCCCTGACCTCCCCCAGGAAGGTAGATGAGGCCAATGGGGATCGAACCCAAGACCTCCTAAATGGCACTTGCGTGCCTTACCAACTGAGCTAGGCCGCAGATTAAAATTGGAAGGATACAGAGAATATTAGCATGGCCCCTGCGCAAGGATGACATGCATCAATCGTTCCAATTTTTTAAAGAAAAAAAGCCCTGACCTCCCCCCTCTGTTCTTTTTGTTTTCTCTATTCTCCTTTCCTTTGCTTATTCCTCTCTCTTTCTTCTCCTGCACAATCTACTACATTTGGGTTTGGAAATGGAATCAGGCCCATCAGGCTCTTTTATAAGGCTCCTTTTTTGTTTTATGCAACCAGTGTTATTTATATATATATATTATAATATGCTACGACTTCGCTGGCTTCCTGCTACGGTTTGTTCCGGTCAGGTCGAGCGGCAGTGGTCGGGGCCGTTACTAGGCAGCCATGCTGTGCCTCTAGTGCCAGCGGCGTGTCTGGAGTGTATTTTTTGGCTGTGACAGACCTTTCTTTGTTTCGTGGATGTTTTGCTGGCTTGTGATGGGGTGTGAACCGACAGTCTGCAGAGTTTTTCATCTGGTGTGGGTGTGTGATAGTCTACTTTGATTTTGGTTAAGGTAGATTATGATTTACAGTGTAATCAGTGAGGGGATTCTGCAGACTGTTGAGGATTCAGCCTCCTGATGAGTCGGTGAAACTCCGACGAAACAGTTTGTCACAGCCCCTCGTTTGTTGTCCTCTTCTCTCTCTCTGCCTACGGTTTACTGGGCAGTTCTGTTTGTGACGATATATAATATTATATACGTGGCGAGCCTTGCACGTGAGAGGCACAGTGGAGGTGGAGTTCAAAGAAGAATGAGAAATTTAATGGTTTCAATCTGCCCTTGTTTTTTCTTTTTGTTTTTATTTTTATTTTTATTTTTGCATGTTATCACTGTGCCCGTTTTTTGCTTTTATTCTTTGTTCCGCAAAGTGCGCTCTTTTAGTTTGTAGTGATGTGACAATATATATATATATATATAGTCACAGCCCTTCGTTTGTTGTTCTCTTTCCACTGGCGGCTTGTAAAAGCTTGGCGTGCAGTCAGGCACCTGCAGGCCCAGGTGTACTGGTGGTTTAAGATACATCCCATTGCTGACTTCAATGTTATCGTTTGTAGTCGCGATTTTATCTTTGCCATAGCCAGTTCTTTCCAAAGCATGCAGTGATGGCTGCTCAGGGACAGAACTGCAGACCTTGCAGAGAGCCTCGATAATTTCGGCGTCAGCAGCAGCACGAACTGGGTCTTGCAAGGACTACTCGCTGAAACTCTTGGTCTCAAAAATATCTGGCAACTAGTAAGAAAGCTGTGAGGAATTGAAAACTTCCAGCTGACAGTCGATCCTCGAAGCCATGGATGTATCCATGCTGATCGGGTGTCCTTCAGCGGCGAAGTTTGGCCTCCATCGAAGGAAGCATGGGTGCGTCATACTATGAACAAAGTCATAGCGTCGTCGTCAGTTTAATAGGAAGGAGAAACAAGAATTGAACTTTATTAAAGGTAATAAAGTAGGCAATGTGGTAAATATTAAATAAGAAGAAAATAGTTTTTCGAGAGTCTGTAGATCTCAATCGAAGAGCCAAACAAGAATGAATAGCCGACATATTGGATGGGACTTGCCGGTGATATAGCAATTTTTACAGCTGTAGTCTAACAATTTACTGTTGAATATTGAAAATGATATAGCAATTGTAAAACAGGAAAAGTCGACAGAAAAAAAAAAGAAAGAAAAGGAAAAGTCGACAGAATAGCCATGATTTTGAGTAACCAGTGATGTAATGTAATTGTGACATTGGATGGGACTTGCCGGTGGGAAAAGAACAGGAATGACACTCCACGGGAAAGGTACAGGAATGGAGCTCTCCAGAATGGCTATGGAGCTAGGACAATGGTTATGGAGCTAGGGCATAAGGTCCTGTTTTACGGGGTGGAGAAAAGAAAAGACATCATCCTGTTTCGTTCTTGAAGTGGAGTATGGCATGTCGAAGATTCAAGACATCAATGAGACTGTGTTTTCTTGATTTTCTTTTTTTGGAATTTTTTCTGAATTTGGGATGTTTTTTTTTTTGGACTATTTTATTATTTTCTACTTTCTAGTGCTAAGTTTTTCCACGGTTTACCAGAAATTGAGTTTCCTAGAACGAAGAATGAGACTGTTTTCTTGTCCTGATCTCTTCCATGATTTTGCCAGAAATTTAATTTCCAAAACCGACCTGTTCTCAAAGGAAATTTTTCTTAGAAAAGTTAAAAAAACAAACTACCTGTCTTTATCCGAGTTTATAATGTTTATTGTATTTTGTGGACCCGACTGCTCCCCCTGTTTATGTTGCTCAAGGTTTGTCCTCCGTTTTTTCTGACATTCAGAAGCCAACAGTGTTGCATTCACTGATGTAATCTTGGCGATTGTTTGTTGTTCTCTCTCTCTCTCTCTCTCTCTCTCTCTCTCTCTCTCACACACACACACACACACACACACACACAAACACATCAGCTGTTCTGTCCCTCCCTTTTACTCGCTCTCTCTCTCTATCTCAAATACACACACACACGAGCCGTCCTTTCCCTCCCTTTTATGCTCTTTCGTCTGGCTCTGTTCCTCTCTATGTTGTTGGGGGTTGGGTGTGGGAAAATGATCAGGTGAAAGGAACAACAAGTGGCGACGACTCAGAGGAACCTGCAGATCCCTCATTTACCGACTTCATACTTCACTTCATCTGTTTTTTCTGGAAGGTTCTGTTTGCTTTCATCCCCCCACCAGAAATTTGGCATGGGCGCATTGCATTTGCCTGTGCTGTGGGATGGATCATGGCAATGTCGTACGTGCTTATTGACCTGGCAAATCTGTTTGGCTGTGCCTCGGGAATGGATCCGTTCGTTTTGGCCATCACCATCCTTGCGACTGGCACATGTCTCCCTGACTTGATTGGGAGCTACATCGCTGCACAGAATGAAGTAACTGCTGACTCTGCCATCGCGAATATAAATGCTAGCAACTGCATCAATGTGTTTGTTGGCCTGGGATGTCCATGGTTGGTTGCCTCTATTTACAACAGGTTAGTTCTCAATCAGGAGTTCCCCATTGCATCGCGAGGAACAGGATTTTCCGTTATGATATTCTGTATTGCAGAATTCAGCGCCACCGCGCTAATGCTTGGTAGACGATATGTATTTGGTGGAGAACTGGGAGGTCCACGCAAGTTCGCTGTAATCTCAAGCATCGTATGGCTCCTGCATTGGGCCTTCTACATTATTATGTCTTCTCTGAGGTCATATGGATCAATATGATGCCCCCCAACTGTCCGTTACGTTGTTGTTGTGCCAATTGTACCAGACACAGGTTTAGATGCGGTGCTGAGCGGCACAGACTTGTTGTCATTCGCATCCATCCATGCGTACTGGAGCAATGGAGGCTGGCTTATCAAGCCCTTTGTGCGAGCTGTTCATCCGCCAACAAGTTTTGAGACCTCTCTGCTTTCAATCCAGGTAGAGTCTGATATGATGGGTCGGTGAAACTCCGACGAAACAGTTTGTCACAGCCCCTCGTTTGTTGTCCTCTTCTCCCTCTCTGCCTACGGTTTACCGGGCAGTTCTATTTGACGATATATATATATTCATGTGGTATATATATACCACACAACAAACGAGGGGCTGTGACAAACTGTTTCGTCGGAGTTTCACCGACTCATCAGGAGGCTGAACCCTACGGTTTTACCGGGCAGTTCTGTTTGTGACGATATATAGACTATATATATGTATATATTATACTCCCAGGGAAATCACATTACACCTGCAGATCCACTTCCTGTTCCGTCCACTGGAATCGACTCTTTGAGATTCTGGTCAGCTAAATGACTTGACACTGTGCTTTTGACCTCGCTGACATGTGGCTTCAGCTTCTCTGACAGGCACACCGTCAATGCATCGGTTTTGAAACTGGAGACTCTTGTCCATGCTGATATGTCGTTTCGGCCTCTGTGATTGGCCCGACATCAATGTGGCTTCGAGTCTGATCACCTGGAATCGGCTCTTTGAGATTCTGGTGAGCTAAATGACACTGACATGTGGTTTCAGCCTCCTGGACTGGAGCCCCATGAATGGATTGGGTTTGAAACTGGAGCGGCTCAGCGTAGGTGTCGTATGTGGCTTCCAGTTTGATGAACTGGAATCGGCGTTTTGAGATTATGGTCAGCTTAATGACATGACATTGTGGTTTCACCCTAGCTGACATGTGGTTTCAGCCTCCCGGATTGGCGCGCCATCAACGGATTGGGTTTGAAACTGGAGAGGCTCAGCTTAGGTGTCATCCTCGGTTCCGATGTGATTCCAGATTGCAAATCTGCAATGGATTAGAATTCAGATCACATCTTATCGAACCGGATCCAGATACAGGATTGAGTCTCAATCAGATAAGAGTTGAAGATGGGATCAAAGTTTACCAGATCAGATCAGAAGCATCAGCAGATGGAACAGCGATACTGCTGGACTCTTTCGAGCCTGGTGCCATCAGCAGCGAAATCAAACTGTTGCGCACTGCTAAAATGAGGATCCATATGAGGCCACGTCTGCTGCCAGCCGTCGTGAAAAAATAAAAAGGAAAAGAAGATGGTTCTGCTGGTTCGGGCAGTTGGTTTTCGACAGATTGCACAAGGTTCTGCTGGACTGGAAAGCCAGCTCGGACTCTGTTCAGGTCACATCGGGTCCATTGTTGAACGAGACCCAACCAGATTGAAGGAGAATAAGATCCTTCAGGCTCAGTTTGTGTTGTCGTGGTTCGTATGCGGTTGATTTAGGTTCGAGCTTTGATTTACATATGACTGTTGGGATTGCACACTCGGGTTAGATTTGATTCTATGGTCAGATTTGTCAGATCTGATCACATGGGTGTGGACCTGCTCTGTGCATTCCAGGTCAGACTGGGATCTTCTCTGGTCTCTCGAAGTGGAAGCATATTTTGAGGGCAAGCAGAGATGACAGATGATGCATGGGAAAGGAACGGAACTGCGCGGGTTTGGCCGAGATAGTTGTGAGATTTCTCTAGAAGGGCAAGGGTAAGCGTTCGACCTGGCAGGTAGTGGTGAAGTGAGCGCTCGGGCGTGGCCAAGATTGCGGCTTTTTGGAATACACTAGAGCCTCTGCTTTCACAGGGATGGGGAACCAAAGGGTTATTGGACGTGTGCCAAACCTGTGCAATCAGATGGTCAGTGGAATGGCCGCCGTCCAGCAGCCGCGCTTTGAACAAATGTTGATGGACCTGAGAGCCTGGCAAGCCTGTGTCATGGTTGTGGGTCTACCGCTTCTCGGCTTTTGGAGGAATTGGGATTTGAATATGCCCCGTATCCAATCGGGTCAGTGTTTCTGAGTCTGAGAAACGCATCAGAAGTTCTTGGCGAATATCGAGGAACGCGAGAGCATGGCAGAAGTTGTTGTGTTCTTGCAGGCGAAAGGCTAGAGTCCGATGTCACTCCTTTCTTTGTCTGACACTGGCTCCATTTGTTTTGCCCCAGTTGCGCGGACTAATTCGAGGCGGCATCACCTGGCTCAGGCTCCTGAACCGTGCATGCCTACAACTGCGAGTTGACCTGCGAATGCGTGTATAATTCTGTGTGAGCGCACGGGTGTGGCCAAGATTGTGGCTTTGGTGTACGCGTACGCGGACTAATTCGAGGCGCCGTGACCCTCCCCCTCCGCCTCGATAGCCCGTGCCCCCCCTCCCCGGTAGCCAAACCCCCCTCCCAAAATGGTCAAAAAAGAAGTCGGTACAATGGCGTGCATGTAACGGAAGTGCATACTTGTTCCCCAGATGTACGAGCGTACGTATGCCGATCCCATGTACAGGTACGCAGTGCAACGCAGCTGTTGACAGAAAGATCCGGTGTTCGAAGCCCGTTGGGTTTACGAAGGTTAATGGCTACCCCTTTACGAAAGTTTAACTCGAGAGTCGAAGCAGCTTTGTTGCAAATCTGCCGTCGGATGAGAGTCGAGGCAGCTTTGTTGCAAATCTGCTGTCGGATGACATACATGTTCCCCAGTTGGACCTCCAAAAAAAAAAAAAAAAAGGCCAGGAGGCCAGGTCTTGATCAATGGCCAAGAGCCCAGTCTCTGTCCGTGTACTCATTTTAATGTTGCAGTTGCTGAGTAGATTTAAAAACTAGGTTAGTGGCTCATTTTAATGTGCACTTGCTGAGTAGACTTAAACCAGGTTAGTGGGCTGTAGAAGTGTAGATTGATGCTGGGACAGGTTGAGGTCGTTATTGAGAGGCGTTATACGGTTATACCCTCTCTGTATCTTAATAGTGTGGAGTTGTGTTATGTCGGCGGCTGTGAAACACCGGAAACGGGAGGAATTTATGATATGTAGCCAATCCATCAAACCCCACGTACTCCGAAAATGTCTCCTATCAGGTTACCCTTATCGCCACCAAGCGATAAGGGTTTCGATCGTCACCAAGCGATAAGGGTAAATGGCAGAAATTGTCTGTCACGGAGATTGATTAAGACCAGGAGATGGGAGATCTCAGTTGTTCAGCCGACCAGCGGAGGCTTAGATAGACTAGAGATGGGTCGATCACTTGATATTTAATCAATTGTAATGAGCTCTCAGAGCGCCAAGTGGATGGATGCGATGATCGCATTGGGGTCTTCCATGTTGCAGGCACTCTGCCCTGTCATCATCCTTTTTGTCAGGGCCTCATGTTTCGAGTGGAGAATATGCGAATCCCATTACATGTGAGAGATCAGATTGGTCGCCCGGTGATGGCTGGAGCGAGAAGGATTCTTGAAGAGCGGAGTGCACCGGCTCCAGATATCGGGCTACGGTGAGCCGCTCTGTTCTTTTTCTTGTTTTTTTGTCCACTATATTCACCAACTTCAGTTGTGTCTTTGACTTTCGCAGGCTTGGCCTAGAAAGAATAATTCAGAATTCTGGGGGATTTGTTGCCTTGGGTCCCCTCATGGTCCCACTTTCTGGGCCCATGAGTCAGGGTCCCACTTGTGGGGCCCATGAGTTGACCTGTGTGTTGGTTCTATGTGCTGGTTGTAGGGCTTGGCCTTCTATGTGCTTAGCCCATGTGTGTTGGCTTTGTGTTGGTCCCGTGCGAGTTCGTCTCAGACTTGCATGTTGACGGCGACGCCCTTTTACATTTGCTGGTACCCATTTTTTGTGTTTGCAATATCTTGCTGCTCCCAAAGAGATTGACACGGCCAGTTCAATCTGGTATCCCTGTGTATGTTTGCGTTTGTGATGTGGCTGTTGTCCTAGGTGTTGGCCGTCGCGTTGGTCTCTACGATTGTGTCCCCTGCAGGTCCCATATCTTGATGCCCTTTTACGCCTGTCGGGACACAAATGCTGGTCATTTGCTGTTACGCAAATGCTGGCGAAGTCTATGTGCTGCTCCCAAAAATTGATGGGGCCAGTTCGATGTGCTGGCCCCGTATGTTTGCCTCATGTCGTGCCTTTATGTGTTGGCCTTCACGGTGGTCCCATACGAGTGTGCCCCTGCAGTTCTCAGATGTTGATGTCGTTTTACGTCTTTCGGGACGCAAATGTTGGCCATTTACGGATACACAAATAATGTAGAAATGTAGGCCAAGTCTGTGTGCTGCTCCCAAAAATTGGCGTGGCCAGTTTGATGTGCTGGCCTGGTATGTTTGCCTTCCCTCATGTATGGACCTTGCACCAGTCCCACATACTGGCTGCTTCTGTTTGCTAAACGCACATGTAGTTCCGACTCTATTTGATGGTCTCCAATAGGGCCATTTTTGTGGTGCCGAGGATGGACATGGCGAGTCTTATCTACTGATTCTATGTATTTGCCTTTCTGGCGGTTCTTTTTTAATGGGTGCCTTGTGCTGGTCCCATGGTCCCGTTTTTTATATATATATATATATATATATATATATATATATATATATATATATATATATATTTCCGGGGTCGGCCCGGGGGCCTTGTGCTTGTCCCATGGTCCCTTTTTCTTTCTTCTATCTGCTAGCCCCTTGTTTGTTGGCTGCTTGTATTTCCCGGTCCTAAATGCTGTTCGGTTCTACTTGCTGATCATAATCTATTTGCCTTGCTGATCATAATTTGTTTGCCTCATTGTTTCATAGGCCTTTCGCTCGTTCTATGTGTGCCAGTCCCATGTCTGGTTCCATGTGCTTATCGCATGGGCAGTTCGGCATGGACATTGACCGCTTGTATTTGCTGGTTCCCGATGCCACCCGGGTCTAGTTGCTGATCGTACTTTGTTTGCCATGTGATGGCTTCGCAGGAGTAGGATGTTGGCTGCTTGAATTTGCTGGTTCCCGATGCTGCCCGGGTCTAGTTGGTGATCCTAATTTGTTTGCCTTGTGATGGCTCTGCAGTAATAGGTCTTTCGTTGTTCCTATGTGCGCCAGTCCTATCCCTGGTTCCATGTGCTTGTCCCATGGCCAGTCCCGTGTGCCCGTCCCATGTAGGCTCCCTAGGAGCATGTCTCGTTTGTGGTTCCGATGTGTACCAGTCCGATATCTTGTTGGTCGTCTTGCTGTTTCAATGAAGGACGAGCTTCAAAAAGTATCATGGGTCAAAGAAGCATGTCCACATTTTGGGCTGTGACTGTTGGCTGCATTGTTCTGTCTTGCCGGTGTTCAGTCCATCAGGGTAGGCCCAGTGTCGGGGTGCAGCTGTTGGTTAATTAGGGCACTGGAGGCCTGGGAAATTACATGAAGAGTTCTGCGAGAGGTCTTTTCGGAGCCTATGAGGGGGGGTGGAATATTTTCGGAAAATACCTTGAGTGGCTGGATCAAACTGTGCGAGTTTTGAGGTTCGAACACTTGACCATTGGGAGCACATGCTGACCACTGCGCGAGTTCGTCTGAGGATGTGTAAGAGAGAAACCCTCGGCCGGATTAAGGGCCGGCTTGGAAAGCATGGACCCTTGCCCTAATAATGTCCAGGTTCTTGTCCAGAGGATACAACGGTGAACCTCTGAAAAGCTCAGAGGAGATGCAGTTGTGCAGGCCTGGGAAGAGCTCGTTTGAAGCTGGGAGGGGTGGGCACTAGGCTTTTTGTGACCTGCAGGGCAGGTCTGAGGAGTCTAGAGAATTGGTGCCAGGGTTTACGGGAGTTATTTGTCCGTTGTTGAAGGAGCACGAATCTGACCGTAAGACTAACCACGTTCTTGTTGGAAAGCAGCACCTGCCCCTAAGATTCTTCTGAGGTTTAACATGCATTCCAAATGAGATTTTCTGCCAGGCTGTACGTTGGAGAGGTGTGATTGGTGCGTCTGCACACAGAGAGGGAGGGGGCCGTTTGGCTCTAGAGCACTTTTTTGAAGTTTTTTTTTCTTTTTTCTTTTTTCGGTCTAGAACACTTAGCTTTGGAACATTGTGTACTTGTGTTTCATTAGGCAGTGCGGGAGTGTTTAGAGGTCACTCTGTTGAGTTTTCAAGAGTTCTGAGAAAAGCTTGGAGATGCACACACACACACACACACACACACACACACACACACACACACACACAGAGCAGAGAGAACAGAGAAGAAAGAGAGAGAGAGAGAGAGAGAGAGCACTGACAGTTCTGTGAAATTTCTGGGAGACCTGTGAGACAGTTTTGAGATTTTGGACAGTGAAGTTTTCGAGCCCGTGCACATTCACTTATGTTTGTCGCTGATTTCTTCAGGTTTCGGAGTCAAGAATGGACTTTGTTATTGTTGTTTCGTGCTTTTCTGGAGTCCGGACAGTGTTCTGTTACTTCTTGTAATCTATTGTATCTATATATACAAATGCAGAACTCTGTTTGGTGGTTTGTTTTTTTTTCTTTTCTTCTTTTTCTTTTCTTATTTGGGTGGTTCATTTGATTGAAGTTCGTGATTGGAATTTTGAATCTGAGTTAATGTTGAGTTAATTCTTGTATTCTATAGTTCCTTCGGCCGAACGGAAGGAAGCGTGAGTGAATGGTTGTATTGTACATTGACTTGCCGGTGGAATAGGAACCGGACTGAACTCTGTTTGGTGGTTTGTTTTTTTTTCTTTTCTTCTTTTTCTTTTCTTATTTGGGTGGTTCATTTGATTGAAGTTCGTGATTGGAATTTTGAATCTGAGTTAATGTTGAGTTAATTCTTGTATTCTATAGTTCCTTCGGCCGAACGGAAGGAAGCGTGAGTGAATGGTTGTATTGTACATTGACTTGCCGGTGGAATAGGAACCGGACTGACGCTCCCCAGAATAGAAGGAGCCAGGACCATAGGGCCCTGTTTAAAATTAAAAAAAAAAAAAAAAAAATCTTGTATTCTATGCATGGGTATGCAGAAACTGAGAGTCAGAGCGAGAAAGTGAGAAAAGTTGTTCGGCACAACAGCCACTTGCATGAGCATGGAAAATAAAGATCCACCCATAAGCAAATTCCATGACACACCACAATAATGAAGGAGAAGAGTCAGACCAGGGACCAAACCAAACATCGAAAGAGAGAGACAAAATAGTGCAGCGATGTCACCGACAACCCCCGAAAAAAAGACAAGCCAGCCCATCCACGATTAGAGAGAGAATTATGATAGACTCTAGTCTCTCATCCAAAAAACAGCGGGTGTCCCTCAGAACTTTGTCTGTCTGTCTGTCTGTCTGTTTGTTTGTTTGTTTGTTTGTTTGTTTGTTTGTTTGTTGAAGTCAACAGATTTGGAGATTTGAAACTAGTAAGTTAGAACAGTGTTGAGTCAAGCCTGTTGCAGTCTCACCGTCTTTTCTTTCGAAAAAAAAGCCAAAGATAGTAGGGGGCAACCTGAGAGGGGCTGCCAGTTGAGCTTCATCTTCTTCTTAAACCACTGTCATCCGAGAGAGAGAGAGAGAGAGAGAGAGAAACTGCCCGGCAAGACAGCTAGAGCATGAGAATGGAGAGAAAACGACACCAATTCAAGCACTCCGTTACGCACGCAACCAATATTGCATAGACACTTGATCCCAGCCTCGCGGCCACACCTCGACGCGTTTCGTCTACCCTGCAAGCAGACTCGTTAGGAGAATTCCTTCCTGCGAGAACATGTTTGAATACATGGATGCAATCCTGGGGACATTCCAGTGCCTTGCCCCTTTATACTATCCTACTCCCGTCCTATCCATTGTATCCATCAGGGAATCACAACTTCGGCCAAAGACATCACAGATCAAACAGAAGAAACAACCCCGACGATCGATCAGTGTCACTATCTTAAGAGACCTCGCAACTGTAATCCAATCGGAGTGCAGTTCAGCCATTGATCTTGACAGGCAGCCCCAGGGATTACCTGTGCCCACGTCACAAAACAAAGCGAAGAACCCAGGGCAGACAACACACAAAAAAGCCAACACACGGGCAGAGAGCACACGACCACTATGTTCCGCTGTGTCGGAGCCTTCAGGAGGGGAGAAGGGACAATGCCAGTTCCTAGATGAAGGTAGGAAGGTGACACTGATAGCGAATGTGCGCGTTCTGTCACCATATCTGCGCTTCGGCTGCGGCGACGACAGCGGTGCCACAGCCATACCCACCAACTGTCCGGGCACACTGCGAACGTATAAGAGACCTTGTGAACAGGTGCTGTGATGTATATAGCGCTGCTGCTCATAATGGAATCCGGAGTCCGGATGAAGGCCGAGTACCGCCTGTGATGTCCTGGAAACCGCGCTGTGTCCGATGCTTACATCCGCCTATCGTGGGGAAATGTAACCTGTACCTGCCTCAAACAGTAGAACTGATGCAAAAGTTGGTCTTCCTGAGACCAGAATAGGTGAAATTCCACAGCCTGTGAGGGGGGGCAGCCCGCTTCGTAGATCGGGCGAGGCAAAAATTGGGCAAGCATGGCTGTTATCACAAAAATGGCCCCATTGTGAAACCTGAAGGGCCCTGCAGAGCCTCTGCCAAATTCCAGAATCATCCTAGAACTACGAAGTAAAATACAAAGGCCGAAGGGTGTGATTCTACGATCGCCGCCATGACCATGCCGAGGACCCGGGATTACCAAAACTCGTGTAAGTATCCTAGAGATGACAAGTGTGCTAAGATTGGAGCTATTCTCAGCACGCTGCACCAGGCGTTTCGCTGGTCCAGCGATGTATGGGGTCAGCAGGAGGCCTGCCTTGCAGTTAAGAGGGAACTCGTGATCAGAGGATACCCACATAGGCTTGTGCGCTCCACTTTTCGTTGATTTGGCTGCAAGATGGGGGAAGAGGCAGCGGAGGTTGTGGAAGCATTTTTGGCATCTGGGGCTTGGCATTGGTTGCCAAGCAGGCCCTTGTCATCCAGCGTGATTGTGATACAGTCGTCCCGTGGCCCTCCGGACCATAACCACGTCTCTCTCTCGTTTAGCCACCTTCACTCCCCCACACCCTTTCGAGGAGTAGACATCGATCAACCAGTGGAGAGCATGAATGATATCCTCGTGTGGCTAGGAAACAAACATGTCCTTCATTTCGAATGACCGTGAAAGTAAATCAACAAGTCCATGCAATCTGGTGAAGCACTTCGTTATATCTGCCAATCCAGGGACAAAATCACCTACCGCCTTGAGACTGAACTCGGCCTAATGGGAAGCGAGAAAAGCGAACAATTAAGTGCGGGGTTACTCGGCCGCTAGCCAATCTGGTTGGTTCAGCACATGTGGGAGAAACAGGTCGCCATCCGGAGATGTCCTTGTGCTCAGGAAGAACATGTGAGTGCAGAATCCCATTTTCCCAATCATTGCAAGCCAAGACCATCAAAATTTGAACGCATCATTAATTTGAGTAGCCCTTCATCCAACGTCGTGGCCATGAAGGACTGATTCCAGTTAAATGTTATGCACAAGCGGTGCTTGTACAATAGCGGACAGATAATTGGGGTGTCGGTGTTTCGATGTGCATGACATTTCTACCCCAATCCGGCTCCAAGTGACAGTTGCATATCCAATCGATCACTTTTCACAAACCTATGGAAATTCCAAAGGAAACTTAAAACCGGTCTGTTCTTAGTCCAAAGAAAACGTATCCTGATGAGCTCAACCACGGAGACAGGCGAGCTACTATAATTGGCACCTTCAAAATCAAGCCATGCACCATAGCAGTGTCGAGTCGATGATCAAACATCATACAAACCACCAATCTACGTCGCACATCTATGTATCCTTCGCCTTAATAGCCCGTGCTAGAACCCCCTTCAATGAGGACCACGTCTGTTTTCCCGAGAAATCACAGATACCAACGGATCAGAGTGTCTACAGTCCGAAATTGAGTAGCCGTCTCCGCCAAGGCTGTTGTACGAGTAACTGCAAATGCCCCTTGTACACAGCTCTACCCTTAGGAGTGCAGACCACCTGACCTAGCTTCACAGTAATGCCTACCTGCAATACTTCCTTCAGTTCCTAAGTGGAAAAGTCGCATTGCGTAGGCGTGCTGTAGTGAGTCGAAAGCAGCGTCGTACCACGGATTGTACCGGTGACAATCCGAAGTCGCATTGCTTAAGCGTGCTGTAGTGAGTCGAAAGCAGCATCTTACCGCGGACAATCCGTCCGCCCAAATGTTCTCAGCAGCGAACTCGAGCTGTATCTGTCTACTGTTACAGCAATAGGCCATAGAAAGGACAGTTCCTTAAGTGGAAAAGTCGCATCGCTTAAGCGTGCCGTATTGAGTCGAAAGCAGCGTCTTACCACGAATTGTACCACTGACAATCTGAAGTCGCATTGCTTAAGCGTGTTGTAGCGAGTCGAAAGCAGCGTCTTCCCATGGACAATCTGTTCGCGCAAATGTTCCCAGCAGCGAACTCAATCTGTACCTGTCTACTTTACAGCGATAGGCCATAGAAAGGACAGTTCCTTAAGTGGAAAAGTCGCATCGCTTAAGCGTGCCGTAGTGAGTCGAAAGCAGCGTCTTACCACGGATTGTACCACTGACAATCTGAAGTCGCATTGCTTAAGCGTGCTGTAGCGAGTCGAAAGCAGCGTCTTACCATGGACAACCCGTTCGCGCAAATGTTCCCAGCAGCGAACTCAATCTGTACCTGTCTACTGTTACAACGATGGGCCATAGAAAGGATTGAAAGCAGGTTGTCCGGCCATTGCCATTGTTGACCCCAACCCGTATGATTCCAATTGGGGTATCAGAAAGGCGTTCCCTCTCCTTCGGTATCTACTGGCTTCTTGGAAGCCTTACGCCCCCTACGTGGCTTTCGATAGTTCGCAGATGGTGAAAATGCTCATGTTTCTGTCCCGTTGCTCAATGACGGGACAGAAACATGAGCAATTTCACCATCTGTGAACTATCGAAAGCCACGTNTGCTCATGTTTCTGTCCCGTTGCTCAATGACGGGACAGAAACATGAGCAATTTCACCATCTGTGAACTATCGAAAGCCACGTAGGGGGCGTAAGGTTTCCAAGAGGCCAGTAGATTCAGAAGGAGAGGGGAAGGATTTCTGATACCCCCATTGGGATCTCTCCGCCTTTTCCAC